GTCCCTGAAATGCTTTTCTTTGGACTCAGTGGAAAGTACCTCGCCCTCGGGGTGATCCTTCCGCCCCCAGCATGTTGCTGATCATACTGTTTGAACTCCCTGACCTTCCAGATTGCTGGTCATGTTGTTCGGACCCTCACCGGATCTTTCCTCCCCTGGCATGTCACTAGTGATGTGGTAGACCCCCTGGGAGGAGGAACAGAGGACAAAGAGTGGCCATGTGACTGCCAGCAGGCCCTTGGATAACCACTCCCGTAAGCATTTGCCCCTAGGGATAACATCTAGGCCTCAGTTACGGTTCAGCTCCAGGCCCAGAAAAGCAGCAAAAGCAGACACGTGATGCAATGGCTGACCTCAGAACCAGCTGCACTGACTAATGACCCCCCTGACCACCGGGAAAGCTGATGAGTATTCCAGAATCTTCTCCCCTGGAACCTCCTCTAAAACCCTCAGCCTTGAAAGCCCCAGGACAGAGGACCCGGCGCACTCTCCCTCGGGAGTACGCCCGAGCCCCTCCGTCTCCCTTCCTGTCTCCCTTCCTGTCCCCCTTCCTGTCCCCCTTCCTCTCCCGGCAGGTGTGGTCCCCTGACCCTTCTCGCTCCTAAGCCCCAAGGGCCCCCTTGCCTCGGTCACTTGTTTCCTAAGCCCATTTCTTTTTCTGCTCACTTCTCCTACCTCAGTGACTTTCGAAAGAAACTTTCTGCTATAGTTTGAGTTGGCTCTGAATTCTTCCTTAGCCAGAACTCAAGAACCAAGGTTGCTGAGCAGAGATCCGGTCTGACTCCGCTGGTCTGACACCCGGTGCCGTTACCACTGCCAACAAGACTATGCCTCTCATCCCTAAGTTTTTTTGAAAATATGGTTATGTTTTTCACAGAAATATTATTTATGCTAGCATGTTAGAAGCTTATTTTTTTAATAAATTATTTTAATAATAAAATGATTAAATAATTTCTTACCTATATATAATAGTTAAAATAAAATTTTAATTGAGTAAATTTAAAAGAAATCAATACCTGTATAATTTCTCCGTTTTTTGGTTTTTAATCCTCGCCCAAGGATATTTTTCTATTTTATTTTCAGGTAGAGTGGGAGGGAGGGAGAGAGACAGAGGGAAACATCTACGTGAGAGCAACTGGTTGCCTCCAGAACCACCCCGGGACGAACCACAACCGAGGTACGTGCCCTTGACAGGAATCGAAATCGAGACTCTTTGGTCCGCGGGCCAACACTCTAACCGCTGAGCCAAATCGGCCAGGGCTAATTTCTCAGTTTTAATGTCTAATACACTATTAATAGGTATAACCCACATAAACTAATGCTCTTTGAGATCCTCAATAATTTCTAAGAGTGGAAAGAAGTCCTCAGATCAAAAAGTTTGAGATGCTGCCCTAATGCACTTTGATCATGGAAGTCCTTCTCTGGGGAACAACTTGAGTATATCCTATGGACCACATAATGGGGAACACAATCTCATACTCTGCTTATAAAATTATTCCTGTATGTGTCTCTTCTCCCTAGACATTCCTCAGTAAATCAATTTATATTCTGACCAATGGGTTCCCTCTCCAACAGTAGTTTTGTGCTATGACCCTGATGATTAATGCATATATCTTCTCTGGCAGACACAGATGATGCTGACCTCATCTGTTAAGGAGAGGTCTTAATCTGAAGAATTATTTCACAGAGCAAATGTTACAAATAGTCAAGAAAAATGATGACACAGATTCCTACAGCAGATAATCCTCTGTTATGAGATATAGTGCCGGGGACATCCCAAGAACATAAGAAATATAGCGCCGGTTAGAATCACGGCCAATTTGGTTTAGCATCCAGTTTCCAACAACAGAATCACTGATTAAAGTACCTATGTTACAAATTACTCTTTTATAAAATGAGCAGGATGACAACAATTTATTACTCTAAGTACTGACAATTTGTATTTGCATAAATTGTATGCAGGCCAAAAATAACTTAAGAACGAATTCATATTTCTACCATGCTTTTTAGAATATAGAGTAAGGTCATTCTCTACTTTTGGCAAGACAGGAAGCCCCAGTTACAGAGCTTAGCTATAAATCTCTTATTCCTGTCAGGTATCTGAATGACTGGCCAGAAGCCTATTCTCCGATGGCTGTTAAAGATTTTGGGAAAAAGTCAAAAGTGTAAAGTGCTGAAGAACTTTTCTGTGCAAAAAACTCTCCCCAAGGAAACTCAGTCCTTATATAGAGCTGGCCTGGAGCACAGACTGTTTAATCCTCTAATTTTCATTCTGGAATTGGCCCAAGTAACAGCCACCATTATGTTTATTTATGCAGTTTTGTAAGTGTCTAGTTTATAAAATGTTGCTTAATTTTTTAAAGATGACCAAGATCTCATCCCGAAAGCTGAAGACACTCATCTTGATCTTTTTCTTTTACTAAAGATTTGAAATTAAATTAGCAAATAGCCCTGGCCTGTTTGGCTCAGTGGTTGGAGCATTTGTTCACAGACCCAAGGGCCTTGGGTTCAATTCCAGGTCAAGGGCACGTACCTCGGTTGCAGGTTCAATCTCCAGCTCTGGTTGGGGCCATGCAGGAGGCAACTAATCCATGTGTCTCTCTCACACCAAAGTTTTTTTCTCTCTCTCTCTCCTTCTCTCTCCCCACCCGCATTCTTCCCCCTCTTCCACTCTATCTAAAAATCGATAGAAAAATATCCTCCATTGAGGATTAACAACAACAAAATTAGCAAATACTTGGCTTCCAGTAAAACTTTCTTTGATGAAATTTGTTTTTGTTTTTTTTTATAGCCATAAATGCGTAGTAAGTTTCAGGTCCTGTTCTACTCATTTAGTCCTCCCAGCAACTCTACGTGATAGAGGCTATAATTATCCCCATTTTACAGATAAGGAAATAGGCCCTGTTTATAGGTGGCAGACAGGACTAAAGAATAAAGTGACAAAATAAAATGAAGTCCTGACAGGCTGCTACATTACTATTCTTGTTTTAACTAGCCTCGGAACTAAAACTTTTGAACTTTTCAGTCCCGTGTCAATGTCTGAATATACAAACCTTCAGATAACCCTCTGATCACCCCCTGAACGTCTAAGGAAAGAATGTTCATGTATCCAGACTGCCTGACATCGGTATCCAGACCACCAATCATCTAAAGAATTACCATCTCAGACCAATCCACAGGCCAAGAATGCAGGACTGATTCTTCCCAAGAACATACTTTTTACCATATGAAACCTCAGCTTTTCTTTCTTCTTCAGAGCACTGTAGGCTTGCCTAGTAGTGTTTGTTCATAAGTCCTAGGACCTTGAATACATCATTTCATTTCTAGCCAAAGCTTCTTGATTCATATACTCTTGGTGGACAACTAGAATCCAGGAAATTAGTCCCTCTGAACCTCTAAACCAGGACGCCACCCTGCTTATCTGTGATGCTTGGACCTTGAATACATCATTTCATTTCTAGCCAAAGCTTCTTGATTCATTTACTCTTGGTGGACAACTAGAATCCAGGAAATTAGTCCCTCTGAACCTCTAAACCAGGACGCCACCCTGCCTGTCTGTGATGCTTGGACGGCGACATTAAATGACTTACAGTAAAAAGATACCTTGTTCTGTGGGGAAGATAGTGGCTTTAAGCTCCAGATTAGCCTTTATTTAAAAAACACTTCCTTACACCCTGGTGTGTCAGGCTTCATCCTCTGTTTTCTCCATCATGACCACATGGTATTTACCTGTTGATGCGTCTGCCTTCCTTCTAGTCTGTACTAATATCCTCCCACATGGTACCTGGAGCAGCAATCACTGCATGAATGAGTAAAAGGAGTGATCAAACAAAAGTGAATTTCCACAAATCTACTTCGTCTCCAAGAACATTAATTTCCAAATGAGTTCTGCACACCCTGGAGGGTATACAAAGCACCCAGTGGGATGCAGGGAGAAGGCATTACTTGGCACTGCTGTTTCTGTTTACTGACATTTCACATGGACTGACACTGGCATCCTCAGGGCAGCACGTGGCAGCCAGCTGCCAGGGCCTGGCACGGGCATTCGCCGGTTAGCAGTGTGACCCTCACCTGTTTGCTTTCCGTGGTCTGTACCAAACTGAAGTTCCCATGGGCCCACCTGAGAAAGTGGCTGCAGGGATTATATTCTCAACCTTTTCTGAAATAACCTCCACGGAGTGGGCTCCAAACAAGTCTTATACAGAACTGCAAAGCATGCCGACAACAAGGCGAGCACTAATGAACAGAGAAATAGACCTGACAACATTTTTCCGTTTCTCACACAATATTTTTCTCAGATACGTCATGAGATATAACAATAACAAGCTAATCAGATCTGACATGAAGTTGGCAAAAAACAAAACAAAAAACACCCTGGAAATGTCAAAACTTAGATTCAGATCCACTATTCTTGCAAATGGTCCTTGCCTAAGTGAGCATCATGCCTTGGAAAACTGGCTAAAAATATGTATACAGTTTATAAGTAAATATATTTTTATTAACAGCATCCGAAAATGGGGAGCTCATTGATCTAGCACTTTGCTACTCAAAGCACAGTCTGCAGAGGCGCCAGCTCACATCAGCGGGCAGCTTGCTAGACATGCAGAGTCGTCAGCTCCACCCCAGACCTACTGATCAGAATTTGCACTTTGACTGGACCCCCAGGGGACTCATGTGCAGTTTCTGCTTGAGAAGCACCGCTTTGGAGCACATTTCTCACACGATCTCAATCCTAACAGTTCAGCTCTTATCAGTTTAAACAGATTTCTCTTTTAAATTTTTGACCTCATAAACTTATCATTTCTAATATCTGTTATCAAGTGTTCTTCAAGACTATAAAGAAACTATCCCCATAAACCAAAACTCCAGTGACCTCATCTGCATATAACTGCCGCGTTCTCTCCTCTTCATTCCGGTATACTAAAACAAGTGTCTGGGTCCCCGAACAGTAAAAACCATCCAGCCACACCTCAATCCTCTTGATCCCCGCCTCCACTTACTTTTGTTTGGTCATCAGCTTTGAACACGTAGCAGACACTCCGCCTGTTGGCCGGATCGTCCTTAATCAGACAAGCAAAGTAACTTGGGTCGTGACTGTTGTGAATCAGTTTGTGCACATGCTGCGGCTTACACTCGAAGATGCTGCAGCAGATCAGGGGATCCCACTGCTGAGTCTTCCCCGGCTCAGGCTCACATCTCAGGCCGGAGGGTGAGACGCAAAGCCGGACTTGCTTGGTACCGGGCTCCCTTCTGGAGGGCTGCCCGCTGAGCCGCCGCACCTCCGCCACGACCCACGGCAGCATGGGCATGGTGGTCAGGGAATGCACCGGCAAGGAGCCCACCAGCTGGAGGCCGAAGGCCACCCGGACCTCGTTAGGGAGCGGATGCTTCCTCGCCGTGAATGTTATTGGTTCCATCTTGGGAAAGGTCTGGAAACTCAGCAAAACGTTGCCACTCTTTTCTATTTTAGACCAAGCAATCTATTTTACATGCTTCTGCGGCAGAATCCTGGGGGAGAAACACAGAGGCATTAGAATTTAATGAAGTCACAGCAAAAGCTGCTTTCAAAGAGTTATTATTTCAGAAGAACTTAAAAATCTGAAACCTAACTTGGGTTGGTAAACACACAATACAATATACAGTTGATGTACTATAGAATTGTACACCTAACACCTATATAATTTTATTAACCAATGTTACCCTAATAAATTCAGTTAAAAAAAAAAAAGTCTGAAACCCAAACATAGGAAGAAATGGATATTAGTTCAAATAAGCTGCTCTGCTGAGAAAGAGCTTTCCTGAAATTGCATTTCATAGAAAACCTGAATATGCCATAAATGTCACACTTACAGCGGGTTACAAGATCCCACTGGAAAACTCCTATTAAACTTAAGCATCATAGAGACCACAAAGGCGCACTACAGAAAACAACATACTGCTACTCAGACAGCCTGAAACCCTGTTATGTTATTTAACATATGTTTTAAGGAGTGTTTTTTAAAAGATAATCAAATTCAGTACTGGCAATTCATATTCCCCTCCCCTCCAAAGTAATCTCACAGAAAAAAATATCAGATATCCATCATCATAGTATACTGAACAGACCAGTTTTAACACCTTATCTATTGCCTATGATACCACTTAAGTTTTAAAAGCCTCTCCTCGGCATAGTTCAGAGGTTCTGCATCACCAATTCAAATGTCATGAACAGGTAATAGATGTCTATTATGTTCCAAACACTGTCATAAATATCATGTTGTTTCATTCATGTAAGCCATCACCCCAGCACCTTGCCAGTCCTCCTCAATAAAGGATGTTGCTTCTACTAGACCCAAACTCTCTCCACTGCCTTCCCCTCTGCATGGGTGAGTTTCAACAGCCACATTTGATGTATCCTAACACTTTCTTGTTCCATTGGATGATGAAACCCTTCTGTTCAGAGCTGAGTTGTCTACAGCACCTCAAGCCCTATCCTCTACTCATCTGCCCCTGGGTAGTCACTCTCTCACATATGAGGAACTCGATAAAGACAGAGGTCACATCTATCTGATTCGCTATTCTATCTCTGGTGCCCGGCACAGTGCCCAACGACTCAAAATAGGCTCAATAAATATTTTAAAGGAGTGAATGAAGACTCTCCCATCCCAAAAGTAAAGATATTTCCTCTTGGCCTCAAACCTCCCCAGCCACAACTCCTCCTTCTCCACACAAATTTCTTCAAGATAAAGTCTACACGGTCTCCACTTCCCACTGTCCATCTACCCTCCGGATTGTGACTAGAAGCACCAAGGAGCTACTGAAATTGCTCCTGCTAAGGTCACCCACATGCTCCAGTTGTGAAATCTAAAGGGGGCTTTTTAGTTCTCAACTGTTTTGTCCTTTCTGATGAATTTCTCAATGTTGACCACTCCCCTTCCTGCTTAAAATGTCTGGTTCTCACCTTAGCACTCTGGGTTGCTTCTCTGCAGGTTCTTTGATGGCTTCCTTTCTGGCTCCACCTGCTTTCTTTGAACAAACTCACCTAATCTCTTGGTGTCAACAACCACATTCCAATATTCCTGCTGCTGCTAACAGCTTACTTTTAGTAAGTGCCAGGCGCTCTGCGTGTCTTATCTCACTTCATCTTCTTAACAACCTCATCTCCAACCTTAGTCTCAGTTAGAGATTTTGCCACTTTGATGACCTAGGGAACGGAGGCCTGGAGAGCTCCAGTCATTTGTCACAGGTGATGTGAGGGTCGACACCTCATTCTCAGCCTATCCTCTTGAGTGCTGCACTCCAGTGTGTCTACCACAAAACTCTGATGATTCCCATCGAACCTCAGAGAACTCCAGGTCTGTACAAGCCATTACAGATTTCTATCTGGGTAGCTTATGGGTACCTCAGTCTCAATTTAGTTATTTTGAAACTAACTCAGTCTCACCTCTCCCCTTTCCCGTTCCCAAAACTTCCCTTCCTTCCGATAAGCTCTGTCTCTGTGACCAGAGTCAATATTTATTTTATTGGCTAAGCCACAAACCAAGGATTCATTGCTACAGACTAAATTTTTGTGTCCCCCCTCCCCAAATTCATATGTTGAAATCCTAATTTTCAATGTGATGATATTAGGAGGTCGGGCCTCTCAGGGGTGATTAGGTCATGAGCATGGAACCCTCATGAATGGAATTAGTGCTCTTACAACAGAGACACAGACAGCTCACTTGCCCCTTCCACCAAGTGAGGGCACGAAAAAAAGATGGCAGTCCATGCAAGTGGGCCATCCCCAGATACTGAATCTGCCAGCACCTTGACCTTGAGCTTCCCAGCCTCCGGCATTGTGAGAAACAAATTTCCGTAGTTTATAAACCACCCAGTCTGCGGTGTGCTGTTACACAGCCAGAAGAGACTGAGATAAATCATTCTCCAGCCTACCGCTGCCTCTAAATGGGCTCTGCATCAAATATAACTTATCTTTACTCGACTGGAGAAAAAGTATCCCAACCTTCAACCCATCCTTCACATATTTCCTAGAGTAATTTAACAGACACACAAAATTGATCATTCACTCCCCTGTTAGAAATTCCTTAATAATTGCCCATAAAATCTAAAGTCTTCTACATGATATATAAGGACTCTTCGGAATCTGGTCCAACTATCTGCTTATGAGAGCCTCTGAGCCATAGTACATACTGTTCCTCTCTCCCAGGAACACAGTACCGGTCACAAACTACAAAGGGTCTGAGATTATAACAGGTGAGCCCGCCACAGTTAGCCTGCTGGGAGATGACATGAGACTCCTGGGTTTGAGACAAAGGACAATGTATTACTCAGAGCAACAGCAGCTGCCAGGGAGTCAGCATTTGTGTCAGTTCCCTGACCCCAATTCCCACAGGCCAGCTAACACTTGTATCCACACTGGGTTCCAGGAAAGACACCTGAGCTTTGGGAGCCCAATTATTTTATAATGGGGAGTAAGCATGCCTGCCCTTTGCTCCCGAGAGAGACACTATGTCTGTGCTCCATGGCTGCTTGCTATTTTTCAGAACAGAACCGAAAAGGTAGTTCAGAAAACATGCAGGCAGTGCCTTTGCTCACAACATGTGTGGAAACACGAGAGACCCAAGCAAAATCATCTCCCAACGATCCCCACTCTTGTTCTCTAAATCCATTCCAACACGCATTTAAGTCAGAGTCAAGCACCTACCACCTCTTTCTTGCAAGGTGCTTCAGGGCGTCCATCACCACGAGGCATCCATCACCACAACCTTCTGCACTTCATATCTGATCATCACATTTATTTTAAGAGTTTGAAGAGGTTCCTTCAACAAGACTGAAAGCTTCTCAAACTCTTAAGGTTTGAGATTTCTAAAACCGGTGTTAAAATTGTAAACCTTTTCTGAACTAGAAGTCTTTTCTTTTTACACACACACTCTCGCTCCATATATATGTGCTAAGAGTGAATTTTTATAATATAATTTGAACATAGCTTAGAGCTCATTTTTTTCTTTTAAATGTTCAAAAGTTCAGAAATAAACCCCTACTTAATTTAGAGCTCCAACATAGTTCATGAGAGTGTATTCCCTATCACTTTTCCTTTAAAGTACAGCTTCTGTTGCTGAGAACATACTTGAAGTTCATATAACCCCATAAATAATGGTCAGTCTCTCCTTTTTCCTCTCTCTCACCTGCAGGTGAAAGTTGGCGTTAAATGTCTGGGTCAGCATCCACTCCTGTAACTGAATCTGTTTCTAGTTCAACCGTTGACAGCTGCTAATCCCAAAACATGTTTGAAGAAGTACTAGAATTATTACAAAGGGTAGACCCAGTATCTCTCAATCAGTGCAGATGAAGCAATTATTAATATAATGGCAACGGCATCAAATAATTACTTTTCATATACGTGTGTGTGTGTGGCAAAAAAAGTACACAATTGAGTCATTTCAATCATTTGGTAAATAATTAGCCATCAAATCAGTTCTGCCATTTCACTGACAAAAGTTTTTGAATACCTAAAGTTTTCACTTTTCAATCAGCTGGGACACATTCTTAGTATCTCTGAAAAAGCAAATTAGACCTTAATATTGTTTATAAACTATCAAATAAGTTCTTTCTCATACATGGCCATAATTATTTATAAGTAATTCAGATTCTGCTGATATAAAATTCATAGTAACAGACCAGGTAACTGTATTAATTTTCAATAATAAGTTCCATGAAACAGATGAACTATTCAAATAATACTAACAGCCCTGGCTGGTGTGCTCAGTGGTTAGAGCATCGGCCCACACACCAAAGGGTCGTGGGTTCAATTCCTGGTCAAGGGTTGGTACCTGGGTTGCAGGTTTGATCCCTGGCCAAGTCAGGGTGCATGTGGGGGGCAACCAATTGATGTGTCTCACATCGATGTTTCTCCATTTCTCCCCTCACCATCCCCCACTCTCTCTAAACAAAAATCAATGGAAAAAATATCCTCGGGTGAGGATTAACAAAAACAAATAATACTAACACACCATTAGATTATTTTTAAAACCATATCTAGCCATGCCATTTGCTTACAACCTCTGACCGTTAAGCCCCAGGTTGAACCAACTATTCCAAGAGGCCTCCTGTGTCTCATACCCTCAGAGGTGATCTGCTATTCCAGCGAGCTCCAGTTGTGTTCCTGTGTGTACAAGCCCAACCACTGACAGAGACCGTCTATGTTCTACACAGCTCCTACCTACCACAGTCCATGAACACGCTAGGTATCCAAAACACAAAGGTGCTTGATAATCTTGTTAGTGAATCCTGGTAAACATATTCTTGGAAGTCTGCACTTAGAATCATAACATTTTAAAGCCAGAAAGGTCCTCTAAAGCCACTTAAAATTCCCTTCATATTTGAAATGAGGAAACTGAGTTCTGGAGAGGTTCAGTGGCTTGTCCAACTTTGGTGACAGAATTAGGACAGTCCAACTCCCTGATTCTCATTCAAGTGCTGCAAAGAACCTCAGTTTCTTCATGAAAACATTTTCAAGTGGTGCAGCTAAG